CCGCCGGGTAAAAGTACCAGATCCAGGGCCTGCGCGACTCACTGCCGCTGTCTCCGCTGGGAGCCGTCCACGACCCGGCGTCCCCAGGAATCCCCCCGCCCCCGGCTCGGCCGCGGCACCAGCAGCGCGTCCTCCGCCGCCAGCCGGTTCGGACTTCGCGGGCTCGGGCGCGCAGTCGTCACTGAGCGCGCGGCTCTCCCGCCCCCAGTTCCGGTCCGCGGCGCGCTGTTCCCAGCGGAAACCGTGCCGCAGCCGAGGGGTCCGGGCTGCGCGTGCGCTGGCTCCCAGGCCGCAGCGGCCCCTTTGTTTGACCCTGGGCCCGGGGACGCGCACTTCCCTCGGGCAGTAACCTGGGCTCCCGCCAGTCTCCTACCTCGATGTCGTCTCCTTCGGTGTCTCCATTCCATTACCCCTTTCTGAGCCAAGCCACCTTGGTTGCCTGGACAACTGCCCAAGCCCTCTAATTAGTTTCCTGTCGTCCCCCCTCTTTTCTCTGTAACACCCAGAGCTCTATTTAAGACTCTACACTCCTTAAAATGGCTGCCCCTTGCCATGACCTGGCTCCCAGGAGCCTCACCAGCTCCTCTACTTACTGTCCCCTGGGTCCAGCTACTTTTCCAGTCAATGTCCCCCACTAGTCGGAGCCGGCTCCTCTGAATCCCCAGCACTTAGCACAGGCTAGCAGTCAACAGGGGATCTCAGGGGTCTGCACAGCTCTGTAGGGTCAGAGGTTTCTGTCTAAGCCACCCCAGCATATTCCAAAGACACCAGGAAGAGATGGATGCTACAGTGATGGCCGACGGCCTGCTGGCAACGCTGATTTCAGAGCTTCTCACGGGCTCATTTGATGTCCAGATGTTTTCCCGCGGATGGCACGTTTATGCCACATGTGTGTCCATGATCATGTGTGAGATCATGCTTGGGGAAACTGGCATTTGCCCCCACCGCTAGTTCCGGTGAGGGGACTATACAGCGTCTGTCTTAGACTGTCAGCCACACATTGCTGAGCGCTCACCAGCCATGGGCTTCCCTACCATCATCCATACAGGCATCAACATGTTTGTCTTCCTAACGATCTCTGAGACTAGTTATTTTATTGTCTACTCTTCACAGGTCAGGAAATGAGGCAAAGGGTGGGTGGTCAGTAGCTGCCCAGAGCCAGCAGCCAGCAAGTATGAGCCAGGAGTCACCTTCTTCACCCCCATCTTGTGACAGCAACAGCATTCATCTCCCCAGAAGCCCATGGAAGGTATGGCCAGAACACTGAGCCCTGAGCTGAGGAATGAGCTGCCTGGTCATACATCATGCATAGGGACTGCCCAGGCTCCTCTAAATTATAACACATACGTGCCATTGTGCTGAACCTGACACTGAGGTGAGAGATCAGGGAAATCGAGGCTGGCCAAGGCCACACCAAGCAGGCACGAGGATCTTGATCCAGCCAACAAATCTGAATTGAGTGTCTGCTCCGACAGACTCTGTGGGACTCCCGCTGTGGACCAGGTACCATATGGACCACAAGACATGCTAACCCATTGCATGTTCATGGTGTGTGCACGTCAAGGTATGTTTATATACACACCTGCTGGGCCTCCTCCAGGGTGACTCTGATCCTTAAATTTGTTCCTGTCTTTCACTTTTCTGAACCCACGTTTCCAAGGTTTCCCAGTGTTTTATTCCTGGCCCTGGCACTGAATTGCTTGTGGAGTGGGCAGTTCTCTGACTCAGCGGCTCTGTCCATAAAATGGGAATGACATTTTATCTGTCTGAGTTCCTGTTCCCAAAGTGAGGCAAGGTGGTCACTACAGGAAAGGACCCACCATCTCTGCCAGGCTTTCCCTTTGTGGGAGTCGACCAGAACCCTGAGCCAGAGAAGAGGGGAGGCAGAGCACCCAGCCACTCGGCAAGCTTGCACATCTGTCCTCCACCATCTGTCTCATCTTACACCCAAGAAGTGGAGGCGCAGAGTTCAGAAACACACCTTCGGTCACACAGCAAGTGGCCGTTAGAGCTGGGCTTGCCTCCATCTTCAAAGCCTTTGTCCTAGGCCCTTGGTCACCACGCCCCCTCAGCCTTTCTCTGCTTCAGAACCACCTCTTCCTCTGGGACGCCTCTCAGAGATCTTCCAGACCAGCCCTGCCCCCATGCCACCATCCAGGACACGCTTTCCCCTCAGCACAGACCTGGGCACACAGAAGGTGCCTCCCAGCTGCCAGCCACCTCAGTGAAGGCTCTCCGACCCCACCCTCACGGTGGGGCCATCCCTTCCTGCTGGGTCCAACTTGGGGTGGGGGCTGTCTCCACCATCCTCCAAAGCCTGCACAAAGCCAAGCTGGGGGAGCAGCCATCCGGGTGGTGAGCAGTGAGAGGACGGGCATCTCCATGCAGTGCTCTGTCCTGGACCCCAGGCTGGTCTCTCCCCTCCCCCGCTCCCCTCCTTCCACCCCTCTGCCTCTGAGGGCTGCAGCCCCTGCTACAGACTGGCGCATGCTCCCGCTCTCTCGCCCTCCCTCCCTCTCTCCCTCCCTCTCTAGCACTCTCTCTCCTTCTCCCTGCACCGCCTCCCTCCCTCCCTCCCCTCCCCGGCACTGCAGCATTCAACGATTGCAGCTCCAGCCGTCGTCCGCGCCTCTCCGGCCTCCGCAGCCCCGGCCACCGCCAGCACCATGGCCAGCACCGTGTCGGGTAGGCGCCCGGGCTGCGGGCTTCCTGGGGCCGCTGGCGGGTCTGAGCAGAAGCTCATTGTCTGGCCTTGCTTGATGCTGGGGCCGGTTGCAGACTGTTTTCCCATCTCGGACTCCGCGCACTGCAAGGGCGCAGGGCGCGGCGGGGCCGAGTTCACAGGATTCAGGATTCGGGGCCGCCGGGCTGGGGCGACCCCCAAGCCCCAAGGCCGGAGATTGCGGCTCCGACCTGGCGGGCGTGGGCCGATGGGCAGGGCCCGCGCCAGGGGGAGCGCCGGGGTGGG